TTCCCAGAAGGTGAAAGATGTGGTTCAGATTTACCTGACTGCTCCTCAGGAGGGAAATGTGGCTGTGGGTGGATCATCTGGACAAAGGGCTTAGCACCCAGACAGAGTATGAGACAGGGAGTTCACATAAACTTCCCCTCTTCCAGACCAGAAATTGTGTTCAGAGTTGGCTCTGAGAGTGATGGAGCTGCTGTAGAAAAGCCCTGGAACTCACACTGCTTCTCAACAGCCAAATCTAAWGCAGTAATGTACTTTCCTCTAATTAAAATAACTCCTAGGTTTCTGTCTAAATTGAAAACTTCATTACATATGTATGTTTTGGAAGAATAAATCAAATTTTTGTCAAAAAACTRAACATCTGAAACCGCCAAATCTCGTTCAACAGAAAAAGAGATTGCTGATTTGGAAAGGGATCTGTAATACTTATTCTCTTCCTCTTTTGGTTAAGTTCAGTTCCCCAAACAGCAATACTCTCCCATGGTWTATCACAGCCAAGGATTCACTAAATGCAGTATGTTTTACCCAGTGAACAGGCAGACTGGAAAAGAAACCTTGAACACGCTTAAAAGGGAAAGCAAAATAAGAAAACATTTTTTCATCCAGCCTGTAACTTTTCCCAATTAAAATTCCAGGGCATTTTTCAACAAACCCCRCTTTTTAAAAAAGGGAATAAAAAAACCATTCTCCTGGCACTTTTTCTTTTGTATGAAACTTTCTTTGTTCAGCAAGTTGACCTAACATTAAAAAAAATTGACAATTCTGCATATTACTTAGCCTGATTTCCATAACTCTTGTCTAAGGAAAGGCAGCTCATTTGCATTCTGGCCTTGTCTTTCATTTTGCTCTGAATAATACCACAGGCTGCACGTTCTTTGTGTTGTTGAGATTCTTGAGGATCATCAGCTTTAACAAGCATTATATCAATAATATAGAGCTTTGTATATTCAGAACTTGTCGTGGAAAGGGAAATGCTTTTCTTTATTAATTATGCCAGCAATTGGGAAAGAGCTGTAGGAAGGATTTGCACTACTGCTCATCTAATACAGGGCAGAAACGTGGGATGTTTTTGCATTCGAAGCAGAATACAGGACAACATGACTAATTGWGTTGGTAGAGTGGTGCAAAGCTCACTGTAAACTAATTATTCCCTTGTACGCCAGGGAGTGATGAGTCTTTGCAAAACCAGATGCTAAATACAAAATTTTTCTTACACTAAGTAAGGTAATGCAGTAGCCCTTGATGCATTTTTGTTGCATTTCCTAGGAAGTTTTTCTGTGCCATGCTTGTGTATGGAGATTTGAACGGCAGGTTCTGTTTTTATAACTTTCTGCCAAACCCTGATAATATCAACTGGCAGTATAGGTATTTGGCCCTGAGTACCCTGATGTATTGTAAAGCTATTATTTTCATATAAATAGACTTCAACCCTACAAACGAAATTAGAATCTGATGCTCTTTTTCAATAGCACGTTTCAAATGAGAACTTAATTTTATCTCCCTCATTAGAGAATAAAAGCCCAGAATGTTTTCAGCATTTGGAACAGCAGAACCCCWGTACATTTTGGAATTTTCTTTGCAGAAACCATTAGCACCCTAATCCATGGAAAACATTAAATCTATTCTAAATTTGAGAATTGTAGATTAGTCTTTTGTTAGTAATTCAATTTTTAAAGAATAGAATATTAAACCATTCAAGTTGAATGCCTACCTCACCGAGAAGCAAATTATCAGTAGAGAAAGCAAACAAGTTAGTTTTATTTTTTCAAATAATTCTCAGTGCTAAATAAAAGTTTATTTCCAGTACAAGCTGGGACTTGATTGCCATTACAGCAGTGATTATTTTTATAGTTTTGGAACATGAAATGGAAAGAAAAAGTGTTAAAATGTGGAGGAGGCAGAACTCCTGGTGTCRTGCTTGGGATGAGAAGTGGTGGACCATGAAGGTTGGGGTTAGGAGGTCACCTGTGAAATAACAGCTCCTGGTGTKCAGTTGTTGTCTGGGTCTGGGTAATCAGTCTTCAGTGCTAAGTGACAGTGTGTTGGAATAAAACCAGAAGGTTGTTGGCTTCTCCCTTCCTCCCCACTTCCCTTTTCCATGTTGGTGCCTTAATTCTCTTTTGTAGGCTGCAAAACAAGGCAGGTTCTTCTCCACTGTGGTCGTGTGTGAACTCCACTTTGCTTTGTTTATAGCAGGTGTAAAAATTGGTTGTTTTGGAGTGCTTAATCCCATTTATCAAAATGGGATTGGTTGCTGCTTAGGAGAATCACTTACAAGGTGATGCTTACAAATCTCTTTATGTTGAGCCTAAGTGAGCAGTGACTAYTTCATCTTATCCAAAACCAGAGTTGTTTCACTGATGCCCTCTCCTCCTTGTTTGTTGGYTGTCACATATTGTGAATTTATGTGTTGTGTGTGCTAAAAACTGTGTGGAAGAAGGATGATCTTCATAGTGTTTGCATTAAAATCAAGGGTTTGGATGAATTGCCTGAATTACCAAGTGCCTCTACCTGAAAAATGGTTGGCATTTAGATGATAGGAAACCCCTGGTTGTTTTAAGCCTGACTGCTTGAAACAGTGAAGGGATAAATATTGTATGTGGTTTGAGTACTCCAATGCACAGAACTTGCTCGTAGCTGGCTACTAGACACGGTGGCAGCAGCTGTGCTAGAATATGATTTAAGGAATGGATTGGAATATTAGTGACACAAGAAATAGTGARTCACACATGGTTCATTTAAAAGGTGAAAACTACAGATTTTGCTAGCTGGCTTTAATTTTCATTTGTATATTTCCTTAGCTGCCTCTGTCTCATACAAAATAAGAGGCAAAGACCACATTTTTAGAGGAATGTGGATAACTTTTTAATATTCAGAAAAACTATATTCATAATCAATATATCTTAATTAGTAAGAGGATATTCCTTTCATTCACTAAGAGGGGTTGCAAAGTTGAGAACTTTCTTTCTAAATGCCAATTGATGGCAGAATCTCTGTTTTTGATCCACGGGCTCCCTCTCCTGGTCTKGGAGGTGCTTGGCACCAGGAGCTTGATTAATGCAGAAGGTAATGGAAGTTATTTGCAAATTGATTTTGTGACATAGTGTCAACGGTGTCTCCTAACTTCCACAATGTTTAATGACAGAACTGTGCTCTCTCTAATAGCAATAATGAGATGGACATGAGATGTGATGAATCAGGGTTGCCRGGTTTATCTCCTTCAAGTGCCAATTAAGACATCACAAGGACTGAAAGCAATGGGTTACAAACAATATTTACAAATAAAATCAGTGAATTTGCACATCGAAGTAACAACATGAATGCATACTCTCTAGCTGCACTGWTACTGTTATATTTGTCACCTTGGTACTCTCCTTCCCCTCCTACTGATTATGATACATCCAAGTTAGACTATTTGATTATTGTATTTGATTGTGGWGAAAAAAAATATCTTTCTATTAATATTCTTAGCTTATAAACATATTACTAATGTAAACTGCTTATCAAATTTGAGTAGACTCATAAAGCAAACCTCATAAGTAAAAATTGTATGTATTTTAGAGGTTACTTAGTTTTGCCTCAAGTTTTTAAGCTCATTTCTAAATTTAATGAAATTAATTTCTGCCAGAGTTGAAGAAAAAYTTCTTGTGTTTTACCTTGCCATCTTGCTTCTAAGAATGTTTTTCAGCTTGAATTTGTCAACATGAACAAATGTTTACATAGTTTAAGAAATTAAACAAGTATTCTATAGTGTCCTTTCTKAATGCTCCTAATTCATATGTAAATTGCAGCAGGCACAAGTAAAATAAATCTCTTCAGTTCCAAATTATTTGGAGTAAGTGTTGTTTTGCACATTTTCTGGACCTAAGTTTGTCACACTAACTTTGGGATWGCTTCATTCTGATGTTTGTGACCACAGAATGTCACAGTGACTCAAATATGCASGTCCAAAAAATGTATTCAGATGCCCTGCAGTGCAGGTAGGGGCAGAGCTGGGMGGGGCCTCTGTACATTGATGACAGTGCAAAACAAGCACCAGAGTAATGTGAATTGCTTTCTCTTTGGAATATCAAAATTTTATTCCAGGGCCTGAGCTTATAACAAATATTCTAAAGAGATTCTCTAGCATTTTCATGTTAGAAATTGAGTGTAAATTTTTGAAAAGGAAGATCCTACTAGTTGAAATATCAAATTCCACAGTTCATTCAGAAATTTCTAGAGATGTTAATTTAAGTGTCATCTTGGCTTTGCATAAAGCAAGTCTTGACAGTTACGTGTTATAAAGTAAAATCGAGTTTGGGAGAACTACTTATAGCAGTTCTCTCCATTTCCTTGCTACATGTGCCAAGGACTTGGAGAGTGAACTTTTCACGTGAGTAGAGGATATAAGATGCATGTGAGAAGTGCCAAATATTTTGCTACTGTACGTTGATCTAGCTTACATTACAAGAAAGAGGAGAGTTGAAGTGAATAGAAACAAAAAAAAATCCACGAGTCAACGAAGTCTATATCTCCAAAGAATTTACTATTTAATACATACYCCAGCCACTTTAAAATGATAACTCTTTGCTGTGCATTCTTGTTCATGCCACACTCTCGATAACCCTCTTTACCATCTGTGTAAATCTTCTATCATGCCTCTATTCACTATCTGTTTATCCTATTTAAGTTTATAGGGATTTAAGTTATTTCTGAGCTAAATTATTTAGCCTCTGTGACACCAGTGCTTGTCGATGGAACGCCGCTTTAACATCCATTGGTTAAATAGGCAGTGTGACAGGAACACAGCACTCCCCTCTGCTTTATTGACTCCCCTGGTACCTTGGAACTGTTGTAATTGTAATCATTTAACCTTTTGTACTTTCTTCCTCTTCCCCATCCCCCAGTTAAGGAGCCTGCTTGAAGYTTAGATTGAAAGGCACTCTGAGCTTTCTGCAGTGCTATGTCTTGTTAAGTCTTTTCCAYTAAAGCAATGTGTGTTTTCACTTTTTTTTTGTGTACAGGTACTTGGAACACCAAATGAAGATACGTGGCCTGGAGTCCACTCYTTACCCCATTTCAAACCAGGTATGTTGAGGTACCAAGTTTCTCTAAATTCCCTCTCTGGAAGTGCACAACAGTGATAATTACATCCCTGCCCACAAATGATCCAAATCACCTGGTGTGCAGTGCGTGAACCATAATGCACTTCTTCCAGCTGCTTACTTTTTGTTGTGCTCAGGGTGGGAGGGTTCTTTCATTTCATTTCTTTGCTTTCTTTTTAAGTTTTTTCTGTTTACTACAGTATGAGCCCTGACCTGCTTCCCCTTCTCAGCCTCTGAGTATTGTACCTTTCAGACTGCTAATATGCTGATTCCTAACCAGGATTACTTTTCCAGCAGAGCACACCAAACTTTGACAAATTCTGAATGAAACTAAAGGGTAGGGGAAAGACATTGAGAAAGCTGAAGTTATTACTAGATCTTTTGCTAGTATCTTTCTGCAAGGTTCAATTTTTTAATATTTGTTGTATTTGAAGTTGTCATACTCTATAACCATCCTTGAAGTACTGTTTCACCATCTGATACCTTTTTGTGAGAGGGAGAAGTTTGTCCCTTAGAGACTAGAATGATGTGGTCAGCTTCATTATGCTATATATGTAAGCATGTTTATACATATAATATATGTATTATTATCTTGTGAACTTCTGAGTGGGGGTCTTAGATATACGGTTTTTAAAACATGGCTAAGCAGGTGAATGAGTAGGCAGGAGATGAGGCAGAGGAGTTTTAAAGGACAAAGAGATCTAGATAACTCTCAAAATAAGAGAAAGAGAGAGACAAATATGTTACAGGGCTTACCCTGATAGACACAAAGCCTTGAGAAATAGTGTGTCATTAAGTTTACAAGCTTTTGTGTTTCTCATTCTTTGTACTGATTGAAAGATGAGCATATACAGAAATTCTTACCGAAATACAGTGGTCAGTAAAAGCAGTCCAAAACCAATGTTTTTAGCAAGAATAGTAAAGAGAAGGAGAAACAGCCTGAAGGTGTCAGTGACTGTTCTTTGGCTTGGTTTGTTTTTGTTCTTCTATGAGATACAGGAAAGGTTTGAACAGTAGATGGCAGCCAAGAAATTCCTGGTTTTGTTTTTTGGTTTGGCTTCCAAGTGTGTTAAGGGATGTGGGTTTATTACCACWGAAGAACATCAGGGAATAAATCCACTGTAGGCACTTCATTAAATCCAATTTTTATACAGGCATTGTGTTAGACTTGCTCTCATTTTCTCCATCCCAGACTATGGATTCTTTTCAGCTATGAATACATTATATTTGTACAAATGCAGAGCGTAGACAAGAGGAAAGGTACCTCTAAGACAGAAAATGATCACTCAGTATTTCCACCATTTCTTCATGGTGTGGCCTTTGTTCTCGCAGATCTTTTCCACATCTGTGAAGATTTGTAAGTCAGAGTAATTATTATTCTTGCTGGCAATCATTTTATCTTTTTAGGGCCTATTAATGCAAAGCATTGAACTCCTTAATTCCCTTGCAATGTGAAAGTCTGAGAGCATTCAAAAATTAAATTTCCTGTTCTGTACTCATGCTGGTGTTGTGCACTTCCTTTCTACCACCCTGTATCCTTGATRACTTTGGTAAAAGGATTTTTTGTTTGTTTTCTGGTTCTTCATTTGCTGGTTTTAGAAATTATAGCAATAGAAAGAATTGTCTAACTGTCAACCAAAACTGGCTACATACCCCACAATTGGAAAATTGGATTTTATCTGGTAAAGTGTGGAATGGTTAGAGCAGCAAAACACATCCCTCTGGGATCACACTGGGGTACCAGCATCTAAGGCACGCTCTGCACAAAATGCTCTGACCTTTGGGCCAGGCTGGAATGAATGCTGCTGGCTCAGGCCATTAGGGTCATTGGAGAAGTTTGGCCAAGGTTCTCTGTTGCTTCTTAAAAATATGCTTTCCTCCATGCTGTTCTGTGCACAAAAGCTTTCTGGCCAAGGCGAGGCTGCTGCATCATCTTCCACAGACGCTCAACCAGCCCTGCTCCCCTCCCTGATGGGCTGAAATTGCTGTYACACTCTGGCTTTCCTGACTGACTTCTTAGGACCAAAAATGAAAGCTGAAGCTTTAACAATACACTTCACAGTTGAACTCGATCATCCTTGTGGGTCCCTTCCAACTCAGAATATTCTCTGATTCTGTGAGATGACTTAATCTGTTCCTTTTCTTAGCAAAAAATGAAGGAAGGATCCTGAGATGTCTCRCCAAATCTGAACCAATTCCATTATTCTTGAGGATTTGTGAAATTACTGTGTTTAAACACAGGTGATATGGGGTTAAGTAACTCCTGTTCTTCGCCTGTGTTTGTGAATTTTAAAACTGAGAGCTGCTAACAGTAAGTGATAAATTGAGAAATGCAGAGATCATTGATGGTGAGCATGTCAGCATTCACTCAGGCAAGGCTTTTATTTTATAAATTGAGTTGTGCAAGCATAAAACAAAAGCATTTGAACAGAAAGTAACAGTGATAAATGGTTACTACAGTTTAAAAAATGCTGAGCACATTAAAAGCCTGTGGATTTGGGAAGACTAGTGASAGTCAAACCAAAATTTCATTGTATTCCTTGTTTCTGTATAGACTACAATAACTAATTTTCATGCTGTGATTTTATAGGGCAGAGTCTTGTGCTGTAGAGAGCTAATCACAGTTTACTAGGAGAAACATGTCTGAAAAACATGGTATTTGTCACTTCTCTACTACAGTGACCAAGTGTCCAGATTATTATGGAAAGCAGCCAGTGCTTTAATAATAATGATCACTGACATCTTAATATGTGGAATAATTTCTGAGCCTGAATYAGAAATGTGTTCCTAAGGCTAGTTTTGGGTGGCTCTAGGTCATTTAAGCCCCTAACCTAGGTGATTTTAATAGCTTGTAATAGTAAAAATAAACTGGTCATAGTCTTGTTTGCCATTCAAAAACCCAGAAAACAACTTGTATTTCATCTGCCTGCTTTGAGTTTATTTTCTATCTCACAAATGCTCCAAGTAATAGATAAGATATTTAAAGTTAAAAGTTGGCCTGGTCTTCGAGCTTTCTTTGTGCCTCAACCTCTGTCCTCTCAGTTTGTGTTTGCTCCTGTGCACATRAACACGTGCACACATCCTGTTTAGTAAGTTACTTAAGGATAATCTAAATAATGCATTTCAAAGTCCTGAAATACTTCAGGAATACTTCAGTAAGTTTGGGTTACCTCTGTGATTCACTTTGAAGCTGTTATTGATGCTATAATCTTGAGAGGGTCTTCCTGTACTCAGGTATCACCAACAAAACCCAGCTGTTCTGGATCACTGTGAAAGTAAATTATCTGCCATCAAAGAGGAAAACAGTTTGAGAGAATAGTGAAAAAGTGCTAGTAGCTTAAAATCTTAATGTTTCATCCATGTAAGAAGGCCCATGTTACATTTTATTGGACAGAGGATGAACATGATCCCCTAGATCTTAGAGAACATGTTTTCACTATTTACTCTTTCACTGCAATACTTTAGGAAAGATGTAGATTTGCTGAGCTAAAACAGATCCGAGCACGAATCATATCATTGGACCTGTATCTTCAGGAATGAAATTAAAGTAGGCATTAACTATGTCTTATCTGTACAAGSAGAGGTGAAGCAGTATTCCAAAACAAGCTGCTTCCTTGCCAGTCTTGGGTCCAACTGTTTCTGATTTTTTGTGCATTATGTTCTTAATCTTTACCAAATCTCCCATTTTTCTTAGTCTGGAGTCATATCAACTTTTCCTCTCCAGCCATTTCTCCTGGATTCAGAGTTCTGTCCAAATAATTGAGCAGGATAAGCGTTTGGATAAATATCGACACTTAAATTTTCACTTTTACAACATTCTGTGTTTGGGACTGATGCTGTGTCACCTCCATCCTGGGAAGTTAAATAGAGATTTATCAGGAGGTACTGTCTGTGAAGAGAGTGGGAGAAGGTAAGATATGGTCACAGGAAAAGATAAATGAACTGACCATGAAAATGAAGAGATGGTAATGGTCAAGGAGAGGAAGGAACTTGTCTCCTTATGTTAGGAAGGTGGAGAAAACATGAGAAAGCTTTGTAATGTTCACTGTGCATCAGTTTCTTTAAAATACTGTTTCTAGGTGAATGAAGGTTAAATAGTTGRTCTCTCATGATGATGGAGCCTGAACCTCACAATGTTCCACGGATGATCAGATACAGAGAGTAATATACCTGAAAAGGTGCCTTTCTGAGACAATGGAAGCGTCTGCTGAGCACTGATTTTTAAAAGAGAATCCCTAAAGTCAGAATGAAAAGAGGTAAGAGAAAGAGYCTCTCCTGAAGGAGAAAGAAGAATACAAAAAGAAACAGTGAGAAAAAAGCATTCATAGAAAATACTGCATAACAGATTTTGTCAGGGACTGACAGGTACTTATGTGGATTTATTAAAAAATCACGAATCTGTGACTGACAAAACCACTGCAGAGCTGGTGTTCTAACTCAGGAATTCTACTTTGCTTCCCAGGTGATCAATAGATATAGATTTGGTTTAGAAATATGATCTGCCTGCATGCATCTTAACAACTGATTGACAGCCTGATTTTTTTCAAAAGATTAARTCTTCATTTAGAGTAGGGCTGGGCTGAGAGACTGAACTCCTTTGGCACCAACACATGAACATACTGTACATGAGAACATATGGCTTTTCAAACTTGCATAGCAGTTTTTCCTGTAGAGTTTCACCAAAGCCTGTCAGCATTTTGTTACATGCTGAWTCAATATCTTGTTTGTTTACATCTACCCTGATGGCAGGGAGTGTTTCCAGGCGATGKGGGAGCCTCTGCTCTTACACTGCTAGAGCATGCCTTTAGCTCTTGGCAACCAGCACTTACAAATAATTAATTCCTGAGCATTAGGATGCTTATTTAGGGTTAGGAAGTTACTGTGGGCCAGGGACTGTTCCCTACTGTAAGAAGTTCCCTCCCATCTCCTGTGTTGGAGGATGGAAGCAGGAGGTGCTGCAGCAGTGCTACAGGACAGTGATGG